GTGTGGGGGAGAGGTTGTTTTTCAGGCACTGTAGATATTCCAAGTGGGTTTTTTGTTTTTGTTTTCAGTTGTTTCAGTGCTTTCCCATGAACTCTAGTGGCTCATCATTTGTCTTTTCCTGGGTTATATGTTGGTAGGTGCTTGGGCTAGGCTGCCCCTCCCCGCCTGACTGCTCACTTCCCTGCTGTGAGGTGGAGCTGAAAGTTGCAGGCACAAATTAGGAGCGCAAATGCATCAATTCATATATACATAAATACATAACCACAGCCTGTGTATGTATCTCATAACGACCACCACGTTCAGAATGTTACCAGGTTTCATAAAGGACCTTACTCAACATATCTGTATAGCACGGTAACATTTTACACACTCAGTTGATTCAACTGCTTATTCTTTGGGGTTCAGACCCCTGTTCATTCCTGGGGGTGCCTGCACTCTGATTGTTACACCATAGCAGTGGATAGCTGACTGGATGCATTTGATGCTGTTCCCTTAAACACTGTGCAATTTAAAAGCACTTCTTTTAGAGACAAGCGAGACATCCAACAAGAGATTTCTTTGGGAAAAGTCTCCATTTGACGGGAAACATTAAAATGGCTTTGTCTGAACTGGGGTGATACCTTGGGTCAAAGGCCCATCCTGGGATTGACTGAATATGCTTTGAGTTGTGCAGACAAGATGGTACAGGTTGAAAACAAGCTACCAAGAAGCACCCTTTTTTGTCCCCCTTTTTTTACTTTCCTTTTTTAAGAGGGTAGGGATTTCCTGCTTTCATCTTTGCCCTGGTTTTAAAGTATCTCTGTTGGAGGGCAGGTCTGTTATTTTTAAAACTACTTTGGAAAACCCTCAGTGAAATATAAGCCATATAACAATGGAGTGACAATAAAGTCATGTCTCTGTAATACAATAACATTAACGGTTATATTTTCAAATTTTGCCAGCTGATTGGCAGACACTGAATACAGGCTGCTTCTGAGGTTCTGAGTTCCCTCCGTTCTCAGGAAGTCGCACATGAGAACTGAGTTTGTTCAGTGCTATATAGAAGACACTCAGATACGTGCTTCTGCAAAATGTGAACAAAAGAGTTAGCCTGTGTAAAGGAGATGCCGGTAATTATACCCACAAAACATGCAAAAATATGCCATGCACATGCAGATGTGCACTTTGTGGGCACAGCTAAGGAATACACATTTTACACCTGCAGTTTAGGAATGAAGATTTTAAAATATAGCCAATAAGGGCACATCTCAACCAAGAGCAAGGGTAAGGTAAAGTAAAGACATTTCCAACTTGCTGTATTTGGTACAGAGGAGCCACACGGGTGGAATTTCATCATTAAATTGCAATGATGTTTTCCATTTTTGACTGTCAGACAGCTCCTTTGAAAGTGCAGTTCTGATCCGAAAATGACCATTCCAACTATGACCCCCAGATACACTCAACTCATGTGCTCCCTGTGTGTGTTCAGCTTGATCTGCTAAATTTCATGACAAAAATCAGTTTGAATGTGATTCTCTCCTGATGAAGTAGCAAACTGGACTCTTTTTGCTCTTGTGCCTCATCAGCAGAATTGCTGACAGTTCCAATTTGTTATAGCTGCCCAGTAGGTTAGCACTGGTTTTACAAAGGGTGTGAGCTGAAAAATAGTGGAGATGCACAGGTGTTTGTTACATGTGCTTGGCATTATAATTTGGTCTACAGGACATCTTGTGAACAGTAAAGGATCCAGCTTCATTCTCAGAGTGCTGGTTGAGTTTGCAAGGCTCGTAGTTAGGGAAGAAAAATGTTGACTTGTAAAACAGAGCGTCTGTGCTATGAAAACCATTGAGACACAAATAAGTGTAGACAAACAATATCATTTTTATGTTTGTTCTTCTCTGTAGAACCACTGCTCCTAAAAGAAAGGGGAGCACCTTTTTTAGGCAGTTCACTCCAACGTGCCAGTAGACTTTGTGGGCTGCCTTGCAGTGGCTAAGCCATAACCCATGAGAACGGCAAGGAGATGATGATGGGCTTTGGACAAATATGTGTTAGTAGAGGCACCCTCCCTGGTTGTCTATAACTGGACAAGCTACTGTTTTCTTTGGCTACGTCTACACTGGCCCCTTTTCCGGAAGGGGCATGTAAATTTCAGCAGTCGTCGTAGGGAAATCCGTGGGGGATTTAAATATCCCCCGCGGCATTTAAATAAAAATGTCCGCCGCTTTTTTCCGGCTTTTAAAAGAGCCGGAAAAGAGCGTCTAGACTGGCCCCGATCCTCCGGAAAAAGTGCCCTTTTCCGGAGGCTCTTATTCCTACTTTGAAGGGTATACTTTTGCCTCCGGAAAAGGGCACTTTTTCCGGAGGATCGGGGCCAGTCTAGACGCTCTTTTCCGGCTTTTTTAAAAGCCGGAAAAAAGCGGCGGACATTTTTATTTAAATGCCGCGGGGGATATTTAAATCCCCCGCGGATTTCCCTACGACGACTAGTGAAATTTACATGCCCCTTCCGGAAAAGGGGCCAGTGTAGACGTAGCCATGGTGTGTATCTATCTAAATGCCACTTACAGAGTTGAAGGCTCCTATTTAAAAAAGTAGGGCTGCTAAAATTCATTTATTTTGGTAAAGGTGTGCCTGCTGAAATTTTCAGTGGGTATACGTTTACGTGCAGTGGCCACTGGCGGGGAGACAGATTCATGGGAGCCTGTGTGCATGGGGAGCTGTATCAGAGGCAGCAGCATTGGGGGGAGGCAGGTGGGAGCTGGTGCTCACATGGAGCCAGCTTTTAGCCAGTTCTTGTGGAGCCACCTGTCCTCCTAACTCCCCCACTTCCCCATGTGCCCAGGCTCATCGGTTTACCGTTCACTCGTTTAACCTGTGACATCCCTATTAAAAAGGAATTTTGCTGAATGTGTTATAGTCATTTCCAGGGCCGCCCAGAGGGGGCCTGGGGCAAGGCAATTTTGGGGGCCCCTTCTTGGCACTCTCTGTCTCAGACTTCAGACATTCTCGTGGGGGCCCCTGTGGGGCCTGGGGCAAATTGCCCCACTTGCCCTCCCCCCCGGGTGGCCCTGGTCATTTCTACCTTGTCATTTTTAAAAGCATGCGTGTAAATATGTGGTCTCGACTGCTGCAGACTGATTTTCCCTCCCCCCCCCCTTCAAATTCAGGAAAAGGGAATCAATGTGCCAAGTACTTTCTCTTGCACGTTTTTTGATCCTTTTTAAAATTGAAACACAATCTTACCGTTGAGAAATCTTTTTTCTTACAGTGACTTGCAACAGAACGTGTGTGTGTGTGTGTAATCAGTATCATTTGTGTTTTAAAATGTCATCACTGATTTTTTACTCGGGTGGAAGGATGAACAATGAGACCCACCCTTTTGTAAATCACAGTTAATGGCACTGTTGTTAACTTTTCTTTTTTGATATTTCAAATATGTTATTCCCCGCCCTCTCTCCAGCAGTCACCCTTTTCAGTAGTACTCTTTTTCAATCTAACTGGAATGTGAGGCATCACTGAAATAGTAATTGGTGGTAATTTTATTTTGTAACAGCTCATTTTGAAGACCTGAAGCCTGCTCTTCATCTCTGTTTCCATTCCTCTGCATCAATTTTTCTCCCTACATCTTTTGCTCATTGCTTCACAAAAGGTGGTTCTTTTGTATAAATACTATTCAAAAGTTTAAATAACCTAGATCTGGCTCCTTTTTGTGCTCTCCTCTGCAGCAATATGTTTTCCCCCCATTGAAAAAAATCTTTCTTTAATATTGCTTTATTTTTTGCCTATGCTGACTTATTCTTTGATTTTTAGCTATTCTGAATACTGCAAGTTTTGAGAATTTTTACTTTAACTTGTCTCAAAATTGTGTACAGACCCTCTTATGATAAATCACACTATGATCAAATACTTGCTTCCCTTCAAACTTCAACATTTCCTCTTACTCTTGAGAGACTTCAAAATCTGCATTCCACGGATTGGCCATTGCTAATGATTTCTATTCATGTAGTACTTGTTCAGCCCAACTGAAATTGACGCCCCGTTGTGCTGCTCAGTGTATGCATCTATAATAAGAGAGAGGCTTTGTCCCAAATAGCTACCAGTCTAAATAGCCCATGGATGGTAGAGTTGGACTCTCTGCCGCAGCACCTCCTTCTGGTCACTCTGGGAATTAACTCAGTCCTCCAGCAGGGTGTTCCCTTCTGGCTGGTGTCTCGCCTATTGTCGCTCTGCACTTCCTCCACCCTCTGGTTCTGGACCTGTGTCGCTCCCAGGACCACGGTGTCTTCTTCAGGACAGTGCCCTTCAGCAGTGCCCACCACTCTGATCTCATGCCCCCTTCTGGGGGTATTAGTAGTCCTCCATCTTGCACCTGCCACTCTGACCAACTGCAGCCAATGTCTAGTCCCTCACCTTGGGGGCAAGCTGCAGCCTGTATGGGCCGTGCTCCAGTGGTGGCTACATGTGAAAAGGAGGAAGGGGGGACCCAGGCTCATCCATTACTCTGGGTCTGGGCTCAGGGACCTTCTGGCAGCAGCCTTGTCCTGCCTTCCTTCTCTCCCCGTCTACTGCCTTCTGTTCCCTGGGCTACTTCCCCTATGACCCTTGCATTCCCATAGTCTCTATATCAAGGCCTGCAGCCTGCCCAACACTGTCCAGGGTGCTTTCTCTCAGGGAACCTCTCCTGTACCCCTTCCTGGTCAGGACCCAACTGCCCTCTGTTCTGCTGAGGTGCTCCTTATAAACAGGGCTGCTCCAGCAAGCCACCCTCTCATTGGCTCCCTGTAAGCCTCCCTCTGATTGGCTGGGGCTCTGCACAGCCTCCCTCCAGCATGCTTTAACCCCTTCTGGCCAAACTGACCCACTAGATGTGGGAAAAGGTAACTACTGTCTTCCTTGTTTTATTTTTAAGAAAGGGAGGCGCAGAGAGTATGTCTGCAAAGTGTTTTTGAGAGAGTGAGCTCATGCTCCCAGCCTGGTTCAATAGGCTCAGCTAGCAGGGCTCACACTAATGCTCTAATATAGCTGTGGCAATGGTGCTTTCAAGTTGGGGCTGAGGTTGGAGCTCAGGGTGTGAAACCCATCTCCTGCCTTAGGCCTGATCTGCAGCCTCGCAGCGCTGTTTAGACACCTATTTTTAGAATGCTCCAAGTCTGGCAATCAAGGCTGGGAGGCTGGCGTCTGCTTGCTCCAAAATGCAGTGTAGACATATCCAGAGAGGTCCAGTGTCTGCGGCAGAACCAGGAATGGATTCTGTATCTCTTTCAGCCACAACACTCTGCTGCCTATTTTACTGGCAAGAGAGGAGATGGAAAATGACTCTGTTCCTTTTGAGACCAAAGCCCCCTGTGTTTTAGCTTGATGGTAGTGGAAAAACAATCTTGGGAAACTGACATAGTTTTCTTTCTCCTCTTTGGCAAGTAGCCTTGCGTTCTGCTCTGTGAGGACCCGAGGACAGGGTGGCCAGTGCCATGGGTGGGGCAGAGATGTTGCTTTCTGTGACACCCTGCGTTTACTTTGGATTTCTGCTCAGAATTGGGGAGTAGGTCATGCAGCTCAGAGCTTCATTGCCTTTGCCTGGCGGCAACTCCGCAGGCTTGGGGGGATGCAGCCCATGGCAATGCAACTTCTTCCGCAGTCTTATTGCATGGGGCAAATGGGACAGCAGTAGAGGCTGGGTTTCTCCATAAGCCTCACTCATCTTTCCTCGCAGAAGGGGACGTGGTTACTTTCTACGCTCGGGATCTAGAGGCAACGCAGCCTCAAAAATCCACTGCTTCCAAGTCCCTTCCACCAGTAATGCTGTTTCAAATGACACCTTCTGCTCCTCTTATGGCTTGTTTTCAGGGTGGGTGGGAAGAGCTGGTCTTAAGTCACTTACAGTTACTCTGCTGTTCCTGACTTTAGTTGCAGGTATGTCAGTTGTGAGGTATGTCAGTTGTGAGGTAACAGAAAGGAAAGGAAATGTGCCGAGTTCCTGTATATATCTGTTACCCTTTGAACGTCCTTGTGATTGCACGCAAATCCTCAGTCCTTCCAAATTTGGTTCCAGTCTGATTTTTTCCCATTGCCATTTCCAGACATCTCCATTCAGCCCTATCAAATAATGATGCTAAAGCACCGAGAGTGAAATCCTGGCTCCATTGAAGTGATGGGTGTTTTACCTTGTCCTGAGTGGGGCCAGGATTTTGCCCTAAAACTTTTATTTGAATCAGTCCTACTGGAGATTAGTATCTCTCCCTACATTATCTACGGGCTGTCTTCTTCATAAAAGCCATGTCTGGTGTCTCTCTCACAAAGCCTGTGGAATAAATGTAAAGACTTTGGTATAAGGGTTTCTTTTTTAATAATCAAGAACAAATAGTAACACCTTAGCCAGCCATTTATCCTTGTGGTTTAAAAACATTATAAGTCTGTGGGCATCACATCATGAAAGGTTTTCCCCACATTTGAGGATGACCAGCATAATAGAGTCTGGAGCTATCCATTATCAAAAGAAGAGGTTCTGTTTGATAGAAGTACCAGCAGTGTCGACCAGTGGAGCCAGGAATATCTTTTTAAAGAATTTCTGAGACTCAGCAGGACAATTCTCTGGCATCCTTCGTGTTATTCATCTTCAAACTTACCTCTTCAGACAAAACTGTCTCACTCTAGGCTATAACCTTAACATGGGTCAGTGCAACAGCTGGTGTGGATCAACATAGCTTCACTGCAACTAATGCGACCAACTTACAGCAGATGAGCCTCAGACTCTATTGTTATAGATAGGGCTTTTGTAATGATCACAGTAGGTGGTATTTCTTCGGACAGGTTATTAGAGACATAGAGTTCCTTATAATTTGAAAAGGTTTCACTGATTTTGTTCATTTCCGTTACAATATCCCCAACTTGGAGAGATGTTTCTTTGTATGAGCTTTCCTTTAATGTACTAGTGATCTGTTGCTTTTATTCCCTTTTTCATAACAAAATTGTTTGGCATGTCTAAGAGATTTTTTTCTCCCCCAATTAGGAATGCCTTCAGTTTGCTTCTAGCATTAATTAACTGATTATACACACTCGGAACCATTTATGTTTATGCTGATCTAATTTTTAAAATCTCTTCCTGCAATGCTTGCTTGGTTACAGTTCTAGATTGTGTAATTGTGCATTTTTCTATCTAAGGCATGGATTTTAATTCCAGTCTGAAGTTTTCATTTGATATCTCTCTCCCTGGGAAGAAAACATCAAGAAAATCTCAAAATGCTCGTAAGGTAAAAATTGTTTGTGTACCTTGAATGGGTTTTGTCTGGCAAGGTGTGAAATTATATTTTTATATTTTTCCAGGGATAGGTAGAGCCTAGATTTGAGGTGGAGGAAGAGGGGTTTGTTTTGTTTTAGTAAGATGTCTTGCATTCTTTTTATTCACACCCTGATCAACTTCACTAGTACTACTCATGTACTTAAAAGTTAAGCCTGTGCTGAAGCATTTTCCTGCACTGTGGCTAAAAATCACCTTTTGTATTGATTTCCTGTTTTAGGGTTGATATGCCAGTGAAACCAGTTAAGGAAATAATCTTTCATTCAGGAAACTTGTATGCTTTAAAGACTAGAAACAGAACTATAACTCCTCCCCAATATTAATAGTGGAGACAGTATTTCTGACTTTTAAAACAAATTTAAATTGGATCTTTTTTTAAAAAAATCTGAAATTAATTTTGTCCAAGAAGAAGCCATAAATTACCTCTGGAAAGGATTTGGGTTTTTAATTAATTTAACATTTTTAGGTTTAAAACCTGCTTCTTGTGGCCTTATCAGAAAACTAATATTGTACGAGAGAGAGGGAAAGAAACTAATGGAGATTTTTTGTTTTATTTTTTAATAGCAGAAATTATTTCAAAATAAACACGTTGGCTATTTATTACTTATATGTATAGGTTGAACCTCTCTTATTTGGCACTCTTGGGACCTAACCAGAGCCAAACCAGAGAATTTGCTGAACCACGGGAGGTCAATATTGTCTAGCAGAATTACCAACACTTCCACTGCTTACTGGGTTTTTAAGAAGACATTGAGGGGTAAATTAGAGCTAAATAACAGCACAGAACACTGTGAGAGCCAGGCCTCATGACTGTAAACAAACTTTTTGAGACTGCAAGCAACTTGGCCACACCCATGATAAATGGACATGCGGCTAACTAAAATCATGCTGGAGCACTGTTGTTTAGGCATCAAAGAGTGCCGGACTAGAAAGGTTCAACCTGTATCATATTGTTGAAATTCTTACTTTATTTGGTACTTATTGTAATTCCAGCTACCGTATAACTGTTATTTTCAGTGTTGTCTTCAAGTCGTCATTGTCAAGTCCAAGTCGAGTCTCAAGTCACTACAGTTCAAGTCTCAAATCAAGTCTCGAGTCCCTAAAGTCACTTTCGAGTCAAGTCACAAGTCAAGTCTCAAGTCTTAATTTAAAAAATGTCAAGTCACTTTTGTACAAGCCTTCAATATCGGCTTTTTCAGACAATTTTTTCACCAAGTCGATTTAACAAAATTAGCAAGTCTCAAGTTGAGTCTCAAGTCACAAACAATGAACCCGAGTTGAGTCTCAAGTCGAGTCACTTAGGCGACTTAAGTCAGATTCGAGTTCAAGTTATAGGACTCAAGTCAACAACTCTGGTTATTTTAATATGTAGTCAGCAATTAATTCTACTTGTCATATGCATTATAACTTGTATCATAACCAATGGGCTTTGCGCAAATATGTTACCTAATCATTTTGTACAATTATATTACAATATGCTGATCATTTACATAAATAACTCATGAAATAGGAAATGCAAGAATAGTCACAACTCAGGTCCCAGTTCAGCAAAGCACTTAAGCTTGTGCCCAGATCCCTTTAAAGTTAAACATGTGCTTAAGTGCTTTGGTTGATCAGGCCTTCATGGGGTCTCTGAAATTCTCTCATAAAGCCCTTAAATATTTATTTATAGCCATGCAATTGAGTTTTATTATTTATGCAATTAGAGAACCTAGGAAGCCCAGTCATGGATCAGGAAACTGATGTGCTAAGCACTGTATAGACACAGAAGAAAAAAGACAACCCCATTCATAAAGAGCATGAAACAGGGCCATAGCCATGGATGGGCCATGGCCCATCCACTTAGCATCCAGGCCTACTGCTCCCAGCCCTGGCTCTGCTCCTACCCGGGCATGGAAGATTGTTCTCCCCCACTTGGTGTTCCATCCAGAAACAGGGTTGGGGGGCTGGCCCTGTTCCATTTGCCTTGGAAGGATGTACAGGTTGAACCTCTCTAGTCCAGAGTCCTCTGGTCCGGAAACATCCGTGGTGTGGCATGATTTTAGTTAGCCAGATGTCCACTTATCATGGGTGTGGTCAACTTGAATGCAGTCCCATAAGGTTTGTTTACAGCCATCAGTCCTGGCTTTCAGGCTGCGTCTACACTGGCATGATTTTGCACAAATACTTTTAACAGAAAATTTTTTCCGTTAAAAGTATTTGCGCAAGAGAGCGTCTATAGTGGCATGTGCCTTTGCGCAAAAGATTTGCTTTTACACAAAAGCATCCGTGCCAGTGTAGACGCTCTCTTGCTCAAGAAAGCTCTTGCGCAAGAAAACTCCAATGGCCATTTTAGCCATCGGGCTTTCTTGCACAAGAAATTGATGTTACCTGTCTACACAGGCCTCTTGCACAAGGACACTTGTGCAAGAGGACTTATCCCCGAGTGGGAGCATCAGAGTATTTGCGCAAGAAGCACTGATTTCATACAGTAGAACATCAGTGTTCTTGCGCAAATACTCGTGGCCAGTGTAGACAGGCGGCAAGATTTTGCGCAAAAGCAGCCGCTTTTGCACAAAATCTTGCCGGTGTAGACACAGCCTCAGAGTTTTGTGCTGTTGATTAGCTCTAATTTACCCCGAAATGTCTTCTAAGAGCCCAGTAAGCAGTGGGAGTGTTGGTAATGCTTCTAGACAATACTGACCTCCCATGGTCAGCAAATTCTCTGGTTCAGCACCAGTCAGGTCCCAAGGGTTCCAGACTAGAGATGTTAAACCTATATTCTTGGAGATTCCATCACATGCCATAATCTCTAATTCCTGGAGACTCCCGGCCAGCCCTGGAGGGATGGCAACCCTATGCCTAGCACTCCTGACAGGAAGTGGGGTTGGGACTTTCCCTGGCTGGATGAAGCAGGCCAAGCCCCTGCACCCAGACTCCATTCCCCAGTTGGAGCACTGGGCAGGGCAGAGCAGAGCAAGCCCTTGATCCCTGTTCCTGGCAGGAGTGCCTGGTGGGCAGAGTGAGTCAAGCCCCAAGTGTCAGATATGGGGGCAGAGCAGTTGAGTGCCAGAGCATCTATCACTATCCCCCACCCTCAGCTGGCTGGAGTGGGGAAGAGGTGGTCTTATTACTCTCACCCCACTCCCCATCATTGCCTGCCCATCAGAAGTTGGGGCTCAGCCACCTGTCGCAACACTGGCATGTAACCAATGTTTAGAGTGTAACCTAGCCAAGGAGTTTCTGGGAAAAAGTTTGACAGATTCTTACACGTCATGTCATTTTTAGTTTTAGCTCTAGTAGACTGCAAGGTCGTTCTGTGGTGCAACATGTCTTATCTAGACGGTGCATGGTCCTGCTATGAGGGTAGGGGACCAGACTTGATCTTTCGAAGTCCCTTCCAGTTCTGTGATTCTATGATACTTATCTAGGCAACCTTCCCCAGGAAGTTCCCATGTTTATTTCAGGAACTGAGCTGATTGAAATGTAAGCATGATCTGTCTCTCTCTCTAATACATGCTCTTTCTATTCTAGATTGAAGTGATGCATGACTATCAAGAAAAAAGGAATTCCCTGCAGTCTTTTATTTCAGAAAGTGAAGACAACTTAGATATACTAAAAGGGTATGTTCTGTTTCCTATATCAGCCTAGTGGAACCCCATGTGAAAATACCTTGTGCTCTAGAGATCTGCTTAGTGCAGAATCAGAACCCGTGTTGGAAGCATCACAAAACAAAGATGACTGTAGTAATTATTCAGTTGGCCCTTCTCCTCAAAATGCACTTTATATCAACGGGAATAGGAATTTTCAGTGCAACAATTCTCTTGGCTGTTCTGTAAAGAATCAAAACCCCTCAATCAAGTTCAAGGGTAGCTTAAAGAAAGATGGGGAAACTGTGATTAAGAGGGGTCCTTGTAAAAGACTGCAGCATGACAAGAAGAGCAAAGGGAAGGTGTGTGAACAGAACACAAGGGCAGATTTTCAGATCTGAGTAAAACACTTGAACCAGTGTTGTGAAATAGAAGCATAGTATTCTTCACATTTTGATCTCTCTGTTAGATCCACCATCAAAGTGAAAACTGTGCAGTTGGAGGGGTATGGCTTTGTTGGAGGGGTATGGCCTACAATGAAACAAACGAGCAGTCTCAAGTCTGCAGCGGTATCAACAATGAACTTCCCCTAATATAACATGTCTGTTACTCGAGCAGCTGAGCGGAGATGGCACAGGAATGCTGAGGGCATTGTTAAATTTCTCTCTCTGGATGATCTGGTGCATGTTAATGATGGCAGTTGGGCCATGGTATGCCCATGTTTTTAATAATTCTTTATTCTGTATCTCAGGCATACAGGCGCATCCACCAGTGTTCACCATTGATTTTGGTGGTGCACTGGTCTGTTAAAGTTTCTGTTGTGTCCCACTGACACATTTGACTTCCCATTTTTTTTAATGCTTTGGGTAAGTCAGTTGGTATTTGCTACGTCAAAAATGTGCATCAAGCGGACTGACTCCCGAGGCTAATAGCACAACATGAAGAGTCCTAGGGAAAAGGCAAGAGTTTAAAGTTACTAAAACCTACACAGCTGCTACTTGGATGTGAGCGTAGCCTTAATGCTTTAAAAAAAATTTCAAGAAGCTGTTAACATCAGAATGTGCTGTCCGTTCACTGTATGAAAGAGAAGCAAATGTTTTCAAACTGCCAACCTGGACTGTCTCTACGCCAAAGGATTAATGGACACAAATCAGACCTCAGAAATGGTAACACAACATAAACCTGAGGAGAAACACCTTCACCTCCCTGGACATTCAGCAAAGGATTTAAAAATAGTCATCCTTCTACAAAACAATTTCAAAACCAGATTACAAAGGGAGACAGCTGAACTGGAATTCATTTGCAAATTCAATATAATCAATTTAAGACTGAATAAAAATCTTAACTGTTTAACATAGAGGCAATTTTCCCTCTCTTGATATGCACATTTCCACATCGTCTGGTGTGAATGAGACACTTCAACCCTGACTTGATTATCCTTATTTACAAAAGTACCCTCTTTCTTTTGTTGTCTATATCTATATATATCTATATATCTATATATGCTCGTACCTCAGTAAACTCCACTCCAATTCATCTGATGAAGTGGGTTTTCCCCATAAAAGCTTATGCCCTAATACATCTGTTACCCTAAGGCAGCAGTTTCCAACTGCTAGCGATGAGATGAAGGCATTTGTAAGTACAAATCTGTTTTGGTGTGCATTTTATTGATAGATAATGGACACATTAAAATTAATGGCTTGTTACATAACCACATTGGTATTTACAATAAAATACAGGAATGCAAGTGGTTAAATGGTCATTCAGAATTCACCAAGTATCAATTAAATGCACATGAAAAGCAAAAGGCCAAAACAAAGCTCTTTCCTCACTTAAAGTGCATATGATCTTCTGATCTGAGCTGATTTTAATCTGTTATGCATCCCTCTGTCCTATTGCCTCTATAGTTACTCTGTCCCAATTGTTCGTGTGTATGTTGCAGGCATATTTACCATCAAATTGAAATGCAATGGCTCAATCTTGCAAACTTCATTTCTGATTATGCTTATTTTTCATTTCAGCCACGTCATAAATGAGCTAATAGAAACAGAGAGAGTGTATGTAGAGGAGCTGTTTACTGTTTTGATGGTGAGTGACTTAAGAATTCCTCATTGCAGCTCACTGATGTGTTTTCCCAAAGGCAGCTCCCATTTTGACAAATTAAACAAAAATGTCATTTTTGCATCCTTTCCCAGGTGATCTTGAATTTTTCTCTCATTTTGATTCAAACGACGTGCACATACAATATGTCAGGACAAACTTTTAACCTATAATTTGGGTGAAACCTTTGTTCACAGACATGTGTCTCGGTAAATAATTTTATCCATGGTGGGAAAGGAAATACACAGAATAAGCTACAGTTTGGTTGTATACACAAATATATATGTGTATGTACATAATAAAAAATGTACGCACTTGATAGTTTGAAATCCTCTTTCTCTCCACCCCTATGCTTTTTTTGAAAACCCCCATTTCTTCCTGAGGCACATTTTATATAGCAAAGTGCAGTCGTGGTGATTAAAGTGGAAATGATTGATTTCCATTAAGTTGACTCCAGATTTATGTTCCAGTTGCATCTTAAAGTCAGTACAGGCAGTCCCCGGGTTACGTACAAGATAGGGACTGTAGGTTTGTTCTTAAGTTGAATCTGTATGTAAGTCAGAACTGGCGTCAAGATTCACCCACTGTTGAAACTGATCAGCTTCAGCAGCGGCCGAATCTGGACGCCAGTTCCGACTTACATACAGATTCAACTTAAGAACAAACCTACAGTCCCTATCTTGTACGTAACCCGGGGACTGCCTGTAGCTTATTTCAAAAATTGGCACTGTCTACACAGCACTTATTTCAAGATAAATTGCTATTCCAAAACATCCCTTATTCATCATGGAATGAGGTTCATGGGGATGTCGGAATAGCGAGCCCATTATATTTCAGAATAATGGGCACATTCAAAAGCCATGGAATAGCTATTTCGGGATACCTCCAGTATCTAAAAATAGTGCTGCAGTATAGACATACACTTGGCCTAACCCAGTATGATGGTTCTTATGTTTACTGGTAAAATCCATAATGTGGACACAATTATACTGATGTCCCAAGTAACAAGGTTTTAGAATTTTTTGATAAGGGCCAGATTCTTATCTGATATAATTCCAGCACAACAGCTTTGATTTTGGTTGAGCTAAACATGAGCTGAAGATCTGACTCTGCATTAGAAACCAGTTTTGCAATCATTGTCCATGTAACTACATCTAATGTAGCATACTAAGTTTGAGTAAGAAAATTATAATTGAATAGGCCTGGGAGATAAGGCTCCCTTTATTGACTACTTTTGTGAGCTTGGCCAAGTTACAACTTGTCTGTGATTCATTTATCCATCTGTAATATGAGGATGATAATATATATTTCCAAAAGGAAGCTGCAAGGTTTAATATAAATGTTTGTAAACTGTTTCTCCCGTTGCCCCTGGTCTGCTGGAGACGGTCCCCAGCAGACCAGGGGCACCGGGAGCAGCTTTTCTCGCCCCGGAGGTCGAGGTGGCGGGGCCACTGCCTGCGAGCTCCGGGGCGAGAAAGCCCCCGTTTGTAAGTGCGGATCCAACGTAAGTCGGATCCGCGTAAGTTGGGGACTGCCTGTAGTAATTTCATATCTATGTATGGGGTACCAGCATTGGTAAAAAAGCAATCGTGTAAAAGATACTCCTTTCACAGTGGACGGGTATGAAGTTATGCATTTTTGAATTCATTATTCCAAACTGGAAATGTGGTCCATCAGGCTAATAGCAGAACAGGAAGAGTCCTGGGGAAAAGGCAAGAATTTAAAGTTACTAAAATATACAGGGCTGCTCCCTGGATGCCAGCACGGCCTTACTGCTTTTAAACTTCAGGGAGCTGTCAATATGGAAAAGTGCTGTCTTTTTACTGGATGAAAGAGCCATATTTTATCTTCAGTTGTGCATAAGTACACACTGACTTCTGTGAAAGCCACATCTGACTGTGGATGTAGACACAAGCTGTCCCCGAAACTGGCTACTTGTGATATACAGATAGATATATAGAGATGAATGTATAGAGATAGATAGAGATGAGACTTAGAGGAAAGAAAAAATAACCAGGGACATTCCCTGTTCATATTTCCTCATAAGTTTATTCTTTTGTGTTACTTCTCCTTGAAGTTATTGTCTCTTTCCAGGGATTTTGCAATTGGTAGATAGTTTTTCAGTGGTGTTCTAATATGACCTTAACAAAGAGTGCTATACTTTAATTTACTAATCTAATATAACTATTTACAGTACAATAATATCCCTTATGCTGTTGCCAGATAATTTAGCGAGGATTCCCTTTTGGAAAATGCAGTTGATTTCAAGGGGCAGATGCTGAAGCAGTGGGGGGGGAAAAACCCTTAGGCAACAGGAATCAAGGAGAAAAGGATCTGGTGTCTGAGACTGTATTTTTAAATAGCAAAGAAGCCCATTGATCGTGATATTTGATATCTAAGAGTCTTTTGCTTTATTACACATTTCCCACCACAACAGACCTTGGGAGATTATCTTTAATGGCTTTCTGCTTATAAACAAGTTGTCAGCAGTGTGTCTTGCAGTCATAACAGCAGATGTGTAACCAAGACGAATATTCCTCAAGGACCGCTTCCTCAGTTATACTGTAGAGAGAAGCAAATGGCAGTAGTTTGTCTTATAAAAATACAGCATGTTTCTGCAGAAAATAATATTTTTAATGGGTGTGTGTGTGTGTGCTTTTCTTATCCTGTTCAACATCTAAATGTTTCAGAAATCAGCTATTACTGCCCAATACATAGAGCCCTGCATGGATATAAAAATTGTAACCGCATCCGTGGTTTGCAGGATTCTACCAATACACATAGTGTGTAGACACCGACCAAAGCCATGCATGTGCCTATGAAGAAGAGAGGTCAACCTGGATACCTAACAGTAGACCAGTTTTCTTCCATGCAAGGGCTCTGAATTCCATTCCTAGACTTAGTCCTGGCACATACAACAATTGATGCTGAGAGGAAGCATCACACTCCCGCCCTAGGTGTAGGACTGTCTTGCATTGCCTACTTCTTGCTGTTCGATAAAAGCACTGCTCCACGTGAACACTGCCACTGCAGGAAAATTCAAAGAAAAAAATAGGGGAAACCAAGGGGGGAGGGTGGGAGACTAAAATAGACCTTAAAGGAAAGTAGCATTTTGTAATAAGTAACTGTATAGCTTTCCATCTAGTCTCTAATATGGCAATAACCCAGGCTTCGAATGGCCTAATAATGAATAGCTGCTGTGTTCTACAGGGTTACAGGGCTGAAATGGATAATCCAGCTATGGTCATCCTCATGCCGCCTGCCCTGAGAAACAGAAAGGATGTTCTCTTTGGCAATATGCCCGAGATATACGACTTCCATAACAAGTAGGTAACTAGCTGTATTTTCCCTTTCTTTATCAGTTCCCTGTAAAGAACGGACTGCTCCGGTGCAGTTTCACTCAGTCATAAACTGGGCTTGTTTAGTTTGGAAAAAAGAAGATTAAGGGGGGACATGATAACGGTTTTCAAATATCTAAAAGGGTGTCACAAGGAGGAAGGAGAAAATTTGTTCCTCTTGGTTTCTGAGGACAGGACAAGGAGTAATGGGCTTAAAGTGCAGCAGGGGAGGTTTAGATTGGACATTAGGAAAAAATTCCTAACTGTCAGGGTGGTCAAATATTGGAATAAATTGCCAAGGGAGGTGGTGGAATCTCCCTCTCTGGAGATATTTAAGAACAGGTTAGATAGACATCTGTCAGGGATGGTGTAGACGGAGCTTGGTCCTGCCTTGAGGGCGGGGGGCTGGACTCGATGACCTCTTGAGGTCCCTTCCAGTCCTAGTATTCTATGATTCTATGATTCTATGTTGTGTCTCTCCCTAAACCTCTTTCAGAATTTTCCTGCACAACCTGGAAAGCTGCCTTGGAGCACCAGAGCGAGTGGGGCTTTGTTTCCTGGAAAGGGTTAGTGACTCAGCTGTCACGTTCTTACAGTCTGTCTAAGTCACATTTTCCCCCTGATACTTAGCATTCCTCAGCTGGAGGCTTCCTATAGGAAATAGCTGCCCCTGAGCATTGGGTTCACGAAAAAGAGACAAGGTAGGTCAGCTAATAGCTTTTACAACACGTGTTGGTGCAAGGTACAAGATTTGAGCTGCACAGAGCTCTTCACGTCTGCGGAGCAAGCGGAGCATCAGAGCTAAAAATATGTTGTGCTCACGCATCCGGCAACATATGGGGAAAAGCAGAAGACATGGCAGTACTCCTATCTACTGTGAAAGAATCTCCTATTTTAGAGAGTGATTTTTTTCCTCCCTATCAACTTGCTTTTTAAATGTATTTACTCCCCTTTTGCAAGGGAAATAGGAGCGAAGAAGGGCATTTGGTGCTTTCTAAGGAAGCAAAATCCTGTTTGTTTAGTTAACCGATGAAACGTTGTTTAACTGGTTAATCGATTAAATGGGAGCGGGCGGAGGTGGGGCTGTTCCAACCTGCTGGGCTGGAGCAGCCTCTTCCCCTTCCCCCCCGCCCACCATGGCCAGGCTGGAGCAGCCCCCACGCCACGGGCACAAGCTGCTCCAGTCCCATGGACTGCTGGTTCCCGGCCCACATGGGCTGAGAGTCGGTAGCCTCGCACAGATGATGGTGGGGAGAGGTGGAAGTGGCAGTGCGAGGGGAAGGCTGCTGGCTCCCAGCCCAACTGGGCTTTCAGGCTGGGAACCAGCAGCCTTTCCCCTCTCCTGCTGCTGCCGCATTCATGTCCCTCTCCCCATTGCGAGGCTGCTGACAGTTAACTGTTAACAGTTAACCCTTGTCCAGTATCACCCTTAATGAGTGATGCTTACTGGGTAACTTGTTACTCGTTCACATCTTTAGTGCTGACCTTATTCTGCCTTACAGCTGTTGTAAGTAGGAAGTATTAGAGTGCATGCATTTAAAAATTGAATGACTTACTCTTCTTACAGCGAGAAGATTTTCAGATGTATGAGAAATATTGTCAGAACAAGCCCCGGTCAGAATCTCTGTGGAGGCAGTGTTCAGAGAGCACTTTTTTTCAGGTATATTACTTATTCATGTGCAAAGTATGCTTTAGCCTGGGTATTGTTATTGCAAAATGCAGCATTCGTGTCCTTTGCATTGTTCATCCTACAGGTGTGGCAAATCCCCCATTAATATCAATCGCAGCCATGTGAATATGAGACATGTCGAACAGATCTCGTTAGTAAATTATTTGGCAGCCTATTCATAGATTTTCAAGGCCAGAAGGGGCTATTGTGATCATATGGTCTGACCTTCTGTGTAACACAGAACAGAGAGCTGCTCCTCAAATAATTCCTGTTTGAACTAGGGCATATCTTTAAAAAAAAAAAATCCAGTTTTGATTGGAAACTTGCCAATGATGGAGAATCTGACATAATCCTTGGTAACTTGTCCCAATGGTTGAGTGCCCTCACCAGTGTTCCTGGTAAGCTGAGCACTTGGGTGGCCACCCAGAAGAGATTCAGATGCTGCCCAGTTGATTTGAGCAGTGCCCACAGCCAGCAGTATATGTTTCTATGGTGGTGCACATTCACACGCCTCAGTGCTCATAACAAAATGTATTCTGCACGTGGATGGAAAAAATTAGAAGGAACACAGACCCTCACTATTAAAAATTTGTGCCTTATTTCCAGTCCAAATTTGTCTGGTTTCAACTTTCGACCATTGGATCTTGTTAACATCCTTCACTACTTGATTGAAGAGTCCAATACCAAATATTTGTTCCCGATGGAAGTAGTTAGGGACTATGACCAAGTCACTCCTTAATATTCTCCTTGTTAAGCAAAATAGATTGATCTCCCTGGGTGAATCACTGTAAAGTATTTTTTTTATCCTTTAATCATTCCCCTGGCTTTTATCTGAACCCTCTCTAATTCATCAACATCTTTGAATTGTATGCACCAAAACTGTATGAAAGTATTTTGAGGTAACTTGGTATGTAACGAGTCACTTTGTAAATAAAAGCTATAATTGCCATCTAACAATATAAATCACGCTGTCTGAATGACTACTTACAATTACCAGCTTGTTTACTTTATAAGAAAAATAGAAAACAGACTTGGGCTGGATTCCTATTTGCTCAAACCAGTACAACGTTTGACAAAGTACCAATTGCTTCTGAAGGTATTTGCATGAGTTTTAAAGCATAAGGATCTGAGGAGAGGTCTAGACGAGTAGATATTCAATAGCCATCAACAGATTTGGTTAGGCTTTAAATATGGGATGTTGCTGGTGGCCGTTGGAGAGTTTTAAAGTCTCTTTTATGCCTGGAGTGTACTGAGAGCAACACGGTACAGGTTGAACCTCTCTAGTTCAGCACTCTCTGGTCTCTCAACGTCTGTGGTCTGGCATGATTTAGTTAGCCAGTTGTCCATGTTTCAAGGGTGTGGCCAAGTTTCCCACGGTCCTGTAAAGTTTGCTTTCAGTGTTCTGTGCTATTTTTATCTCTTAATTTACCTCTAATGTTCTGTAAGAGTCCAATAAGCAGTGGAAGTGTCGGTAATGCTGCTAGACAATATTGACCTCCTATGGTTCAGCAAAGTCTCTGGTTCGGCACCAGTCAGGTCCCAGAGGTGCCAGACTAGAGAAGTTGAAGCTGTGCTACTGAAATCTTGTTAGTGCGCCCCTTAGCAACTTACTTGGGAGCAAAACTGAAGACCTGCGTACTTCTCTTTTCTTTTCACTTGTGTGGCTGGTGACTCACTGGATCCTTAAAATTGCAGCAGTCGTTAAGCCTTCATGCGGTACTAAGTTTTGATGTATGAAGAAAGTCTGACCATTTTTATAAAAGGAGAGGAATTGCTTAGTTTTTTTAGCCTTAGAAATATCAAGAACATCAAGTCTTACCTTGCTTATTTTTGTTGGATAACCTAGCAGTATAGAGTGGGATCTTTTTCTGCCTAGAGCTAAACAGACACACATGCTAAAATTTTAATAAAGCGAGCTTTTTGTCAAAGTGTTCTTTTCTAAATAATGTTAAAATTGTCTTCTCCTTTCAGTGAATTAGGGTTCAGTTCCTTGGTATCTTCTAGTTCTCTGCCTTTCCAAGCTAGGCAAGACCTAGCTTTCTAAAATCCGAAATAAGGAATAAAAACTGAACACCCGTAATTTACCTCAGACATTTTTTACACAGTGTAAACAAAGCCACAGACCCCTTATCTCCCTCTCACCTTCCCCTTAACCTTTGTTTTAAACCTGTCTGCATACTGCGCAGCTTTTGCTTGGAATTCTGTGGGGGAAGGGAAATTCCATATTCAAGGAGGAAACAAGTATTTGAGGCAAGTTAGTTTTAGGAGGGAAAAGGTGGATTGAATCTGATCATTGGTATGGAATGAAAGAATCCTGCAGGAAATGGAACCATGGATGGATAAGATGGACAAAGGAGCATGATAAATGCAATTTACTATATTGGTGTGTCTACTTTTTCTTAAGTACTTCTCTGGCACACGTCACTGTACAAGTATCTCACATTCTTTTATGTATTTGTTCTTGCAACATTCCTATGGCATAGAGAAAGGCTGTAGTCCCTATTTTACAGATGGGGAGCTGAGGAACAAAGACACTTAACAACTTGTCTTTGCTCGCAGAAGACTGACACTGCCTCAATCATTATTTCGGAGTTTGATTTAGCGAGTCTAGTTAAGACTCGCTAAATCAAACTCAGCGGGCACCCTATTGGCGTCCAGTACTCCTGCTCTTGTGAGGAGTAAAGGAAGCTCCTGTCGGCCTCCCACTGTGGCTTAAACACGGCTTAAAGTAAGCCAACTCTAGGTACGTGTTGTACGTAGCTGGAGTTGCTTACCTTAAGTTGAGCCGCCGGGTCTAGTGTAGACCTGGCCTAAATGACTGGGTGACACTAAGCCCTCATGTAGATCCATGGTGACAGAGGAAGTGTATGGAAGAGCAGGCAAATGAGCCCATATCTCCCAGGTGCCAAACTAACACCCTAATGTTGCATAAATTGCTAGTTTCGTCCTCTGGAGGTTAGTCCAATTTGCCTCAAGAAGAGAGTCACACTTTCAGGCTGGGTCCAACTCCATTTTATTGTTTGCAAACAAGGTCGACAGATGAGCTCTGTGCTCAAAGCAGAGTCGGCCCCGGGCAGCGCCTGAGCTGAAACTTTTGTAGATTCCACAATTCTTCTGGCCAGCGTGTCGCAACGTGATTGGTTGCTGCAAGTTTAATTAGTTCACTTATATGGAAAGAGCTAGCAGAAAGTTTAGCAGCTTTTGAGGCATGCACAATCAGCTAAATTATATGTGCTGTTTCGAGCTTAAGCAATGAGGGAAAGAAGCACACTTAGTTTTTACTACACTAACCACTGGAATGTCCTTCCTATCATGCAGGGGGATGTACATACAAAGTTATAAAAGAGAGAGAGAGAGAAGGTAGTCAGCTATGCAATGTGACTTTGTACATGTATCTTATGAATACTACAATTTCTAAACACTGACCCCTTACCTATTCACTTACAACCTCGGTCCATTGTTAAGCGTTTCAATCTATAGATACCTGGTGTCTCCCACTGTTACAATAGTCTTCTGTTTGGTACCTCATTTTAGCTCTTCTTCTATGACTTTCTTTTCTTAGAATATTATTCTCTGATGTGTGAAACTGACTGTCTCAGTTGCATGTGCTTTTTCTCTCACAGCAGCAATATCTTCAAAGAATTCTGGGAGGTTAGTTGAATCTGACCTCCCCGAATCAGCACTGACTGTCTTTACTGAAGCTATGTGTAAATGTGATGCTTATGTGCCATACTTGTCATACAACTGTGAATGTGTTTTAAAATGTGCCATTTTACCCCATGATCTAGGATGAAAGAGACACTGGGTTCTGAACTATCGCAGTTTCTTAGGGAATGGCAGAAATTTGATACATTCACATGAAAACACACAGTCTTTGATTTCTAATTACAGGAGTTAATCAAGTACAGTACAAGCTGTGATGGAGTTAAGGAGTTGCAAGAAGCTCTGGTTGCCATGTTGGATTTATTAAAATCAGTTAATGACTCTATGCATCAGATTTCAATAACAGGATATGATGTAAGTACATCTGGGTGATGAACAGAGGAGGCAACAGCCATGCTGGGCCCATGGGACAGCTGAGGGGGGAAGGGACGGGATTAGAGGCAGCCAGCCTTCAGCACCACCCAGAACATGCCGTACTGCCTACCCCAGCCCTCAGAACTACCCAGAATGCATGGCGTGGTGCTTCAGTGGTGATTTAAAGGGCCCAGGTTTCTGGACATGGCCACTGCTTCAGTATCTGTGGCCAGGAGCCCCAGGCCATTTAAAATCACCAGGCCTCAGAGCAATTTCTTCCTCTCCTCTCCCTCCCCCACCCCATACACACATCCCAGCCAGCCTAGTAATGAAAGACGTAGGATGGATACAGTCCAAACTGATGGAATAAATCGTCTAAAATGAGTTTATATGATGTTAAATGTATAATAGATAAGACCGTTAGTAAATGAACAGGATGGGGAAACCCTCCCAAGGGCGACTTTTCCTCTCATTGCATTAGTTGGCGAAACGCTTGCATTTTCGTTTGTGTGCAAAGGGCATTTTGCCGGTGCATTCCCAGAGCATTGCCGCCTGGTGACACTGCAGACACAATGTCCGTTTCCCCCTCCTGGTTCACCCAATAACTCACCCCTTGTCCGGGCTTTTTCATGAAGTTTCTCTCTCAGAGTCTAATATATTAAAGCCTCCTGAAACCCAGTTCCTCTAGACCCTTCCAGGCTCAAACCTGTGTCCTTTCTGAGGGTTCTAGGCTGTGGTTTCTCATAGCTGCTTCTTCCCTCTGAGCAGGGGAATTCTGCTGGTTCCACTCCAGAAAGTCTTCCCCCTTGGGTGGGTCTTAGGCTCAATTTGGGTTCAAATTGTCCCCACACCTTGAACTTGGAACAGGGCATCTCTTTTCTGAGCTGCACATCATTCCTGATAGGTTTCCACAGCTTCCCTCTGTGGACCTCTTCTTGGAACAAGGTAACTGCAGCACTCCTTTCTCAGTCTGGCAGTTGGCCCATGTTTCTAGCTTGCTCTGCTGGCTCTTCCAGGAAGACTTACCTTAGAATAGGCCTGGGTAAAATATGACTCATGGGCCAGATCCAGCCTGCCATGCCCGGAGCAGACACCCCTGCTCTGCCAGGCCCCACACACCACTCAGAAACACGGCTACTGGGCCCCGTTTCTGTTTCAAAACTGTAATCCTGGAGGGGAGAGGGGAAAGTTTCAGGAGCAGCCCTACCCCCAGCACAATCCCCTGGGCCAGTTTCTAGCCAGAAACTGACCAATGGGAGCTGCCTGTTTGAATAACAGGCAGCCAAGAAGAATCACGCCCCCTCCCCTCAGCTCAGTTATTCACTCAAGCACATGGCCAGGCAAGCAGGCTGGCTGGCTGGGAAATGTTGTAAGTTCTGCAAGGCTTTAGCTCTGCAGGCAGGCTGGTTTGGCTGCTGGCTGGTAAGTCTCCTGGCCAGAGCCTGCCTCCGGCACCCCAGCCCTTCCTTTCCCTAGCCCTCTGCCCCCTCACTCCACATACCCACACCCTCTGCCCCCTACTGCATCCATACCGTTGCCTCCCAGATCTGGGACCCCAATCACTTGCCCCAGATCACAGTTGCCTCCAATCCTAGGTCACCTACCAACCCCCTGCACTCCAGTCCCCTGCCCTAGGTCACAACTGCTTCCTTCACTCCAAATCCCTCCCAGACTCCATTCTCCCTCCTGCACCCTACTCTCTTACCCCAAGCTCCCTTCTAAACCCAATCTCCTTCCCAGACCCTACACCTCCTCCATTAATACCATGGAAGAGTGCGGCCCTCGAGCACTTCCCAAGATCTTGGAGTGGCCCCCCATCAAAAGTTATTGCCTACCCCTGTCTTAGTGTAACCTGTCTTGGAACTGGGCTGGCTGGCTGTAGGCCCCACTGCCCTGAAAGAGGACAGACACCCCCCCGTTGCAGGGCGTGTTTTCCATTTTTTACTAGTGATTATTTGTTTGTTGTGTTATTACCAGGGGGACTTAAGTGAACTTGGAAAAGTATTGATGCAGGGGTCATTCAGTGTTTGGACAGGCCACCGGAAAGGCCCTACAAAAATGAAAGATCTTGCCAGATTCAAACCAATGCAGAGGCATCTTTTCCTGTATGAGAAAGCCCTGGTGTTTTGTAAGAAGAGAGAGGAACATGGCGATGGATATGATAAAACCTCTTCATACAGTTTCAAGCATTTTTTGAAAGTAAGGGAAACTTAGTAACTGTGAGAACTGGCATTTATGTACTCCAGAGGAAGCTTTAAAAATTGGGAAAGCATTATCTTGTCTATTGGATAAATAATGTTTTCTGGTATTAACAGTCATGAGGTACAGAGCGTAACCACCAGCATAATGAAATAATCTACTCTGATTTTAAAAAAGCCACAAAGTCCGTTGTTATCCAAACACAGAATGTGCAATGTCCCAGATTAGAATCACAGGGTGAATCTTTCATTTCAAAGATCAGATGATGCTTGTCAGTGAAATGTTGCCATGGCTGCTTAATTCCTGATTCCAGTAGTGTATATTCTAGATCATTTCTTGTGGCATCTTAATGATATTTGGGTAACACTGACTCCATTAGTTTAAAAAAAATGAAAAAAAAAAATCCTTTCAAATCCTTATGCCAAAAGATGCACAAATAATAGAAATGGCATTATTTGGGGGAAGAATTCTCAACTTTTATTTTTTTTTAATTAAAAAAAAATGCACCCCAATCTGGCTTCTTGCAGCATTATATGGCACTGCACATTTTGGGCCAAAACTTTCCAAAATTAATTTTTAGTTATTTCTGTGTGAAAGAGTTCTAACTCCTCTGCAGGAAATTTTAGTGTGCACATTTATTGAATGTGGATATTTATATATACATACAATAGTGGGTGAGCAAATGGAGGCTCAGCTTTGGCATCATTGATAATGTGACCCAGTTCTTCAGTGCTAGCACACAGAATTTTGTAAAGCATCAGTTTGCAGGTACAGTTTGGCACTGAACCAATGGAATATAACCCAGAAAAGGGACTTCAGATAAGACATGTTCACTGACACTCCTTTTTTGCATTCGGGGGTAAATGGTTTCTTAGAAGTTCATGGCGAATGGTGTTATTTATACCCAAAAGTGTTTGGAAATTGCCTGCAGAAACTAGAGAAGCTAATTAGTGACTTGCTTCCTATTTTCTTGAGGACATCTTTCATAGTTACTGGTAACAGTGCCAACATTTAAAAAACACATAGGAACAGAAGGTTTACCCAGGTGGCCTAATTTGTATGTTGTCTCATTCAGACAGAAAGGGTGTGTGTGTGTGTGTGTGTGTGTGTGTGTGTGAGAGAGAGAGAGAGAGAGAGAATGTTTTTATTATCAAAGAATAAGGATAACTTTAAACCAAGATTCTGTTCCTAAATTTTAGGAATGTTTCAGTGAAAATGACTAATCGTTTAACCAATAAGCTTTATATTGCAGAGCCTACAGTGCGGGTAACCATGTAACTACTGAGATTTTCAGTGGTTACACAGTTACCCTATTACACTATTTTTAGCATCTCTAGTTCATTTTCTCTTTGCGAGAGGTCTATTTTGTGCGGTTCTGTTGAATATGTGATGTATGTTACAAAATGAACATTACTAGAGCTGGTTCAAAACACTACATTGTATTATTTTCTCCCTTTTTTGACTAATTACTAGCTATTCATTCCTAGCACACTATGTGGTAATAGCAATCAAGAAGTACATTAATGCATACTATGCCGAGTATCCATTAGGGATGTTAAAGAGGAGTCGACTGTACGATTAACCGATAAGACTAGGCTTGTTGGTTAACCTTGTCAACTACTTGCATTCCCCCTCCCGTGCTGCCTCTGTATCAGAGGCAGCAAGGGGTGAGGGGGTAGCAGGTGCCAGTACTATGGGGATCTGGCTTAAAAGCTGGTTCCCCCTAGCACTGGCTCTGCAGTGCAGCCGTCCCTCCCTCCCCCAAGCTGCTGCTTTTATCAGAGGCAGCAGCATGGGCGGGGAGAGGGGAGGCTGCCCTGAAGCAGCCCCATCTGCTTGGGATCTGAACTCCCCGCAGACAGAAGCCGCTCCGCATCCTGAGGAGCAGCCTCTGTCCATGGTGAGGTTGGGTCTGCCACAGACAGAGGCTGGTCTTTGGCAGCAACTCCTGTCTGTGGGGCGGTCCAAGCGTCCCACAGACAAAAGAAGTGGCCCAGGCTGACCACAGACAGGCTGCTCTGTGGGAGGTGGAGCAGCATTTGTCCACAGGGAGCTGAGACCACCTGCGGACAGGGGCTGCTGCTGGACCAGCTTCTGTCCTCAGCCAGCCCAGGCCACTGTGGACAGAGTCTGCTTTTCGGCAGCCTCCCTGCCTCCCTCCCTGGAATCCTCCATCCCCAGCCCCCTTCTTCCCTGCAGCAGCTTCTGTATTAGAGGCAGCAGTATGGGGTGGCAGCGGGCTCCCCGGGAGCGGGGCCGGGAGCACACTGGCTGCTGTCTCTGCTCCCAGGGACTAGCGAATAGTTGTGTAACTGATAATAATTTGTTCAGTTACACGACCGTTCAATTAGTCGATATCTAACATCCCCAGTATCCATTGTTGGTGACGCAGTGATTTGGGGGTATGTTTAAGAGACAGGGAAAAGAGTTATTTGATGGCCAAAACTCTCTCGGGCTCTGATGCTAGTTGAGTCACAGGCTCTGTTTGTCTTTGTACAAGCCATTTGTGCTTTGGTCATTTCCAGCCAAATTGTCAGAAATGGCCTCTGGCTTTGGGGAGTTGAGTTTAGGCCTGATTTTCAGAACTGCTGAGTTTTTCCTGATGGAGATCTGGACACTTGCTGCCCAAGATACCTCAGGCCATAAATCCAATACATTAGCACATCCATCCTCTCAGACATGTTAGCCCTGGGTGAAAGCAGAATTGCACTGAAAGTTGGATGCTGTGTCTGAAATGAGAGCTGGGTTTTTTTTTAAATCCTATTCTCAGTGACAAGTTGATGCACTAACTGTGGAGAAGACCTAAGTCTCAGACCTACAGACCCTCTTCTAAATCACTTCCACTGATCCATGAATATTATGGAAAGTCCCCAGGGGGTGCTGCTAGCTCCAAGAAACCTTCTGTAGGGGTTACAAATGGTCAAACAAAACACCTTGTGTGAACAACTGGAGATAACAACTTTCAGTCAATTTTTGGTGAACTTTCTTGATTTGGGGGAGGGAGACTAGGGGATTGTTTAAGACAACACTAAGTGTGGATTCATGACGGTCTGAAAAACATTTCAATTTTCAATTTAGAATAAAAAATTTGTGATTCTTTTTAACCAGATGAATGCAGTTGGAATCACTGAAAACGTGAAAGGAGATCATCGAAAATTTGAGATTTGGTACAGTGGACGAGAAGAAGTATATGTTGTGCAGGTGTGTGATTTCTTTTAAAAATGCCATATTTGTGTATCCTCATAGTGCTATTTAAACTGGTGACATTGAGCTCAGAATTGCCTGTCTCTTTTTAAAATACACATTGTCTCATTCAGACAGAAAGGGTGGCGGGGGGCATGCACACATGTCTAACTGTGAGAGAGGGAGAGAAATATGTTTGGGCTGTTTCTATTTGGCTCTTTCGCTGCTCTATTAATCTGTTAATGCTACAATAGATTAATAGCACATGTTTTTATGTTGTCTTTGTTTAGTGGCATCTGCAACCTGGCCATGTTTAAGAATAGGAACATAAACTGTATAGTACAATGCTAAGAAAATCGCACTGTGTGAAAGGATTATTGTGGGGGTTCTAACTTAAATCAGTTAACATTGATACTAGAGTTGGTCTTGAACTGTCATGGAAGTGCTGAGAGCCCTGGTTCTCAAGAGCCTTAGTAGCTTGCTGGACAGGCTACCTCGGAGCCATGGCTCCTCGGCTCCCAGGGGAGTGTATTTCATTTTGGAAACACTGAATCATTCCTCCTTCTAAATATTTCAATGTTTCTGAAACATAATATTGCAGATTTTTGTGATGGTTCATCCTGATTCAGTTGTTTTTGCACTAGAAGTCCGTTTCCCAGCCATTTAATTGATGCTCCTTCCAAAACGCGCGGCCACAATGAAATGTCACTGTAAGATGTGACGCCTCTTTCTTCCAAACTTTTTATGTGTATTTTTTAAGAAAATTTACTGACGCCCTCGGGGTGAAATCTCGGTTCCATTGAAATGAATGGCAAAATTCCAAAGGACTTCAGTGGGACCAGGGTTTCAACCTGTATTTCCGGTTCTATGGGTGTGTAGATAGAGTAATGGAGACAATATTTGCTAGTGGTAATGTGGTCACAAGCAGCGAATCCATCATGATAAAAGTACTCTGAAGTGAAGAGAGGATAGTTTTGTTAACTGGAAACAGAGCCGTTTGTTCCTGTTCAACTTTAGCATTGGACAGCAGTTAATCTATTCAGTGGCTTTTCTGCATAAAATCATGGAATGGCTACATTCATGAATAAAATGTGAGAAATGCACCATTGCAGTTAGGTCACTGTAGGGAATAATTCTGGACACACTGGATGCAGGTGAAAACAAGGATTTATTGCACACAGCTGGTGGAGTGTCCCCTGGGGTAATGTGGTGAACACTAGTTAATCAAAACATTACCATAGATTATATAGGCAACAGATGGACGGAGTAGAAGCAATTTGATAGGGTCTAGCGGCAAGACATAATGAGCACATAAGCCAATAAACTACGAAGGTTACACAGCATCTCCGCCCATTGCCAATTAAACATCTTATCAATAATACAGGTAGTTATTCCTAACAAGCTAAATAAGCCAATATAAACAAGACAAGCATTTTAATGGCAATGGTATGTTGAAATTATGATGCATCTACTACGAGATACCACCACCTCGCATTGGCATAGTCCTTGGCTCTCAGGCTTATCTAGGATTAAAGGAGACAGTGAGAATGACTTCCATGAAGTTTGTTTTGGTACCAGTCAGGGTCTTATTGGAGTGAGGCCCTCTTGGAATGTGGTTGCGACCAGGGTCATGTTAGCTGCTTGTTCTGTGTGTTCCCAGGCCTTGCCTCAAAATTAGGATTTTAATAGGGGTTCTTAGCAGAATGCCATGGACTGCCTCAGTTTACCCCTACAGTCACCAAAATCTTCCAGTGCTATATGTTAGGCTGTGGTGGTGTTTCCACCAGAAATCTCTATTTTGAAGTTTACAGCTTTTCTATAAAGCAGGTGGCCACAACTCTTCCTGGATCTTTTGTTTTTTTCTGGCCACTTTTAAACAGTTTTTTTTTTAAGAAAATGCTTTCTGTTCACCTGAAAAGCCAGCTGTGAAAACACCAAAGCTTAGTATTTAGAAATTTGTAGAGTATTGCATAAGGATTCTGAACCAGCTCCATTTTTCACATTGAAATGTGGTAGTTGATTATTCATAAGCAGGATTTGCCTTTGGATGTCTTGGAAAAAGAGTTTGAGAGATACCCATGTCCTGTTGACTGCATCCCTTGTATTTTAATGAATTCTACGTGATTTCTACATACAGTACAGCCTTTGCTTTGTGAATGTAATGGAGAGTTTCAGATGGTTTTGGAGACTCGAGAACATTTTAAATATAATTAGTAGTCCTCAGAGGGTATACCCTTGCTTTGGCTAACAGGGGTTTTCGGATAATTACAGTTTAGATAACTGAGCTTCAACTCTATTTTTATAGTGGGTGATTCATAAAAACTGCCAAATTTCAAATAGTTCTCTTCTTTCAGGCCCCAACCGTAGATCTGAAGATGGCATGGTTAAGTGAAATGAGAAAAATTTTGTTCAAGCAGCAGGAGCTTATAAAAGGTACTTTTGAACAATTTCAGTATGGTCATCACTACAGCAGAATCTTTCTGATTCTCACATGGCTAATCAGCAAACGCCATCATTCTCCCCAGAGAAATAGAAGCTTCTCTTCTTTTTGTAAAAGATGGAACAGCAGTGTACTTTGTTTAAATCTCATGTTACTCATGCTTCATTACTTGTAAGAAAATTAGTACAGTGCCTATCATAGCATGACATGCATTATTATTATAAATAAAGGCAAATTACCTTTGTGGAAAATAAATCATCATAACCCTTTTTAAGTCAGTATCTCAATATTTTTTAAAGTCCATATTTGTTCTTTTAGCCTCTTATTCAACAATGTTAGCTTAACTACGTTGCCTCATTCAGTGTCAGTGGACTTCTTGCTTCTGGTTGGGGTGTGTACTAGCAGACCATGCTGAATCAAAGCCTAACTCTCCAAAAGTTGGTAATCCAACTAATCTGCAGTTATAAGTACAAATTAGTGAGGTTCTACTGTGCCTTAAAAAAATCATTGATTTGTGATGAAAAGGCTGATGTTGGGAGAAAGGATGTAACATTCTGGTTAATCAGTTAACCAGTTAAACGTTTAACCATTTAACCAACTTAAAGTGGGATCTGGGCTGGGGACCGGTACAGCCTGGCTGGAGCCAGCCTCCAGCCTGCAAGGCTCCAGCCTTCAACCTTACATAGAGGCTGCTGCTGGCACCTGGGCCCGCCATGGACCCATAGCAGGTGGGGAGCAGCTCCAGCTCCCTCTGGTTACTGGTTCACCGGTTACATTTTCACATCCCTAGTTGGAAGTAACACTTCATGTAGAATGGGCAATGGGTGATTTAACAAAGGATGCTAAACTAACACAGTGTTTTCAACCTACTCACAGTGGAGAAGAACCCACCGGGTTTGTTTACAGACCAGATCCAACTTTCCCCTCAGCTGAGTGATGGGTAAGTCAGATGAACGCAATGGATTTGGGAAAAAAATAGCGTGTTCGCTATTTACAATACAAATGCAGATCCAGAGCCTCCTGGGAACTCTCTGGGTGAGCTCTTTGGCCCCCTTATGCCGTGCAAAAGCAGCAAGGGACCCTAAAATCCCCCAATCCAGCCAGAGAGGATTCAACTGTGGAAAACAGCTGTAAGCTTGTTTCTTGATGACTCCTGGCAAGCCTTGGCATAGGAAGGCAGCTGGTGCCAGGAAGGCCATGTTGTTGATAAAGATACAGCAGGCAGTGCTGCAGTGGTTCCAGACAGTGCTAGAGACACTGCTATAGCTTGGACAGGTCCCCAGAGAGGCTTAAAGCAAGCCTAAATCCCCCTTCCGCCAGCTGCAAATTCTGTGTTGTGCTTTGTACTCACAGCCTAGATTCTCATCCTCTGTTTAAAACTGGCACAGCAAGTCCCTATTGATGTGTGCACAGTAAGGATGTTAAGAGGCGGGTAACTGTGTAGTCAATACAAATTGTATTGACTACACGATTATTCGGTAAGGGTAGGCTCTCGGAAGGAGCTACCCCGGCTGTGGCTCTGCAGTTGAAATGTAGGAAGAGCTGGGAGTGCAGGCAGACTGGCTCCTACTACATTTAAACTGCAGAGCCGCAGCGGAGATAGTCCCTGGGCCCAGCGTGAGCCAGGACTGAGCCAGGCTTGCTCAGTCCGGAAGCTCCTGTCCACAGGGGGCTGGCCATGAGCAGAGGCTGCTCTGGTAGCAGCCTCTCTCCACAGGGGATCCCAGTGAGGAGTTGGGACCCCCTGAGGACAGGAGCTGCTGCTAGAGCAGGCTCCCCTGGCTTGCCACACTGCTGTCACTGATAGAGGCAGCAGCCGGGGAGGTGGGGGGGGGAGGAAGGGGAGCAACGGCAAATGGCACCACGGAGAGGGTACTGTGGTGAACCGGTTTTTAAACTGGCTCCCCCCAGCATCGGCTTTTCCTTCCCCCTTCCCCAGCTCTTGCTGTCTCTGATATAAACATCGGATATAGAGGCAGCAGGGGGTGGAGAATGTGAGCAGTCGACTCGACTATTCTTTTACATCCCTAGTGCACAGAACTCCCATAGAAATAGGGCGACCAGTTGTCCCATTTTTAAAGGGGCAGTCCTGTATTTAAGTCCTGCTGCAGGTCATGGTTTTTAAATGGGCAAATTGTCTCCCCTCACATCAGTACTGGTGGGTCGTGCTGCTAGTCAGATCCTTGCTTGCCCACTGCCCACCCTCTAGCAGTGACGATGGGGGTGAGTGTGCAAGGCTGCTGGTTGGGCACAGCTGCAGGGGACAGGGCCAGCTGCACCCCGTACGGGTCCATCAGTGCAGTCCCTGTTGCCTGCCTGTTCTTTGCCAGCAGTTCCTCTTCACCCGCACCCCACCCATTTCCAGCCACACTGGCTGCTTGCTGTGGTGGCTGAGGAGTGCAGGCAGGCAAAGGCTGGATATGTGTCGCCTCTGCTGCCCACCCATCAACCCTTTACATGCTTCCCCTTGCATCAGCCTCTCTCTGCTTTGACCATTTACACCCCCTGCACCCAGCCTGCTGCTCCTCCATATTCTCCCAGCAGGGTACAGCCCACTCCTGCATTGAGCAGAGAATCAGCCCCTGATCAGATAATTCAGCTCATCAAGAGCCTGGCTGGCAGGGTCCTTCCTCCCCCTGCTGCCCCTGGCTGGGCTGGCACCCAGGCAGAGCTCAAACCCCCTGCTCCAGGGCACTGGCTGAGTACAGCCAAGCCCGCATGGGCCAAAGCCCCCCACAGCACTGGAACAGAGAAGCTTCTCTGCCCCTCAGCAAGGCACTGGTGTGGCAGGGAGGAAGCTATTTCCAGCCTGTTTACACTCTGACCCTCCAGGTCCCAGGCAAGAGCACTTAGCACCCTCTTCACATGCTGTCACCACCCTAGGTCCTACCCTCAGGGAGTGGGTTACTCTGTCCCCTAGACACCCTCCCTGCTGAGTCACCTCTCTGGCCTGGTTTACTGAAGTTTTTGGGCCCTGGTGCGCAATGCATCCTTAACCCCTTTCTGCCCATGCTGTTGCTAGGGAACAGGAGGTTGGCTGGGTTATGTCGGTGGCCAGCTGCAGCCTGGAGCTGTTATCTGCCTTTCAACTTTGTGCGGGCAGGATGGGACATGCTGCTTCTAGCCACTGGGGAGGGAGAGCAGAAGGGAAGTGATGACCTCTGGAAAAACACAGGATAGAGCATCTCTCCCCCCGTCTGCCATCCCAAACACATGCACAGTGTCAAAAGGCTGCTGCTTGGCACTTTCTGGTGTGAACCCTGACAGAAATGTGTGCGAGGAGGGAGAGAGAGGGGGTTATGCTCCAGCATGCCCCCACACAGTGCCTTGAGAAGATTCAGTGCCAGGTACCAGGTCAAGCAGGCCCATAACGGGCGCCCTACCAGGGTGGAGGGCGGAGAGCACTGAGTAGGGGGGATTAGGTCAGGTTGGTTAGTCACCCCCATCCCTGTTTGAGAGAGATGTGCAGGAGTGAGTGAGTGTGTGTGTGAGAGAGTGAGACCTCTCCCCATGCAAACCTTAAAGATAAGAAAGTAAATAAAAAGACTCAGCTACTCAGTATTTCTTTTTTAACAAGGGCTCAATCAGCTTGATGTTTATTTGAGCATTTGACCTGCATAACTCTGACTGCCATTGAACTCATAGACTCATAGACTTTAAGGTCAGAAGGGACCATTATGATCATCTAGTCTGACCCCCTGCACAGTGCAGGCCACAGAATCTCACCCACCCCTCCTAGAATAATCCTCTCACCTATATCTCACCTATACTTTGAAGGCCCCAAGATGCAGAGAATCCTCCAGCTGTGATCTGTACCCCATGCTACAGAGGAAGGCGAAAAACCTCC